CAACTTTAGCTATTTGATCTACTAGTTTCTGTGAAAGATGTCAAAATCATTATGATTGTGGATTTGCCAATTTCTCTTTGTAAGTCTTTCAATTTTGCTTTATATTTTTGAGACCGTATTGTCATACAAAAGCTCAAAATTATATCCTTCTGGTAAAAATAAATCTCTATTGTCTCTATCACTAATAATGCAAATATATATATTTGCTCTATTTTGGGTTTCTATTGGCTAGTTTGCTGGGTATGTCTGTCTTTCTTACATTTATCTCATGTTATGTTTGTGTTTCTTGAAAGGATTTTTAAAATGTTATCTAAAAATCTTTTTTTGTGATGAATTAGAGCCACTTATTCTGATTAGAGTTGTATTAGGATTTTTTTTTATAATCACTGTGCTTTTCTATTGCATCTTTTTTCTCCTTCCCTGCTTTTTACTGGTTTAATTAAACCTATATTTCTTTTTCTTTTATGTATTTGTGTGTGTGTGAGAGAGAGACAATCTCAGTCTGTTGTCCAGGTTGGAGTACAGTGGCGCCATCATAGCTCATTTTAACCCCAGGCACCTGCACTCAAGCCATCCTCCCATGTCAGTCTCCTGAGTAGCTAGGACTACAGGCATGTGCTACTATGCCCAGCTAAATTTCAAACTCTTTTTAGAGATGGGGTCTCGCTGTGTTGCCCAGGCTAGTCTCTACCTGGCCTCCAGTGATCCTCCTACCTTGATCTCCCAAAGCACTGGGATTACAGGTATAAGCTACCACACCCAGCCATATATTACTTTTGATTAATGGATTTCATCCCACCCTTTTTTAAATTATCAAAAATTTAATACATGCATAATTGACTTAAAATATTCTTCAGTTAATTAGTAGCTCTTCTTACATTTCCCAAATTATGAGAACTTTAGACTTCTTCATCCCCTTCAAACTTCCATGTCATTTTTTTACCCTGTGTTTAAGGCCCCTAAATTAGTCATCTTGTTATCATTGTATGCAAATAGGGCATGATTAGATTGACCCACATTTACCAGTTTTCTTGCTCACCGCTGCTTCTGGAAATCCTTCCTCCTAGATTCAATTTGCTTCTCACTGAAGTATATCCTTTAGTATTTCTTCAAGTGAGGATCTGTGATTGGAAACTCTTGACATTTGTCTTAAAATATCTTTACTTCACCCTTGCTCTTAGATGATAATTAGCTGGGTATAAAAGTTAGGTTGGCAATACTTTTGTCTGAGCACTTTGATGAAATTATTCAATAATCTATTCATCTCTTCCTGCTGAAGAAAAGTATATTTTTACCTATTTCTGTCCTTTCAAAGATAACCTGTTTTGGTTTTTGTTGTTGTTGTTGTTTTTTAGGATTTTGCTTTGTCTTTTGGTGTTCTGCAATTTCAGTATAATCGGCGTAGATATAGATTATTTTTATTTATCTGGTTTGAGTCTCGTTTAGTGTTTTTTTCATCTGAAGATTTTGTGTCTCTTACTACAAATTCTGGAAAGATCTCAACTGTTCTTCTCCTTAAATATATATTGCTTCCACCGATACCCTAAACTCCATCATTTCTCAACTTCTGAAGATCATGACTGGTTTGCTTATCTTTTCTCTCTTCTGCATTTCCAGTCTCTCACCTATTGTATCAATTTCATCAACAAGTCAACTTGCCCCAATGTTTCCCATCTTTTAAAAAAGTCTTTCCTTGACTCCATGTCTCCCCTGAGCTATCCTGTATCTCTGCTGAATATCATAGCCAGCCTTCCTAATAGAGGAGGTGCCCACATATTTCTCTACTTCCTTACCTTCTTCAGTTCAGTTGAGTCTTCTACCCTCAACCATCCAAAGAGATTGCTCTTGCTAAGGTTGCTAATGACTTCCATGTATCTGAGTGAATATTTAAAAGTACTTATTTCATTGAACCTCTTAGCAGCATTCAACACAATTGACCATTCATTCCCTAAAACATTCTCCATCTCTTGGCTTCTGGAACACTTTGTTGGTTTTCTCTAAATGTTTGAACGCTGAGTGCTTGGGGATGAGCTCTCTTTTGTTTTCTGCTCCCTACCTTTAATATAGTCATGTGCTACATAACAATATTTAGGTCAATAGTGAACCACATATATCATGGTGAACCCATAAGATTATAATGGAGCTTCCCTATATAAGTGTACCATTTTTTATCCTTTATACTATATTTTTACTGTACCTTTTCTGTGTTCAGATATGTTCAGATACATAAATCCTTACTGTTATGTAATAGTTGCCTATAGTATTTAGTAAAGTGACATGCTGTAGAGGTCTGTAGCCTAGGAGCGATAGGCCATACCATATAGCTTAGATGTGTAGTAGGCTCTACCATCTAGGTTTGTGCAAGTACACCCTATGATGATTCCCCCCCCCGCAGTGATGAAACCACCCAAGGATGCTTTTCTTAGAATGTATCTCCATCATTAAGTGATGCAAGACTATACTTTTTATTCATTCACACAATTTTAAATTTCATCTATTCATCAGAGATGGTGAAATGTATACCCCTGGTCTTCACTCCTCCTCTGAGCTCTCAGATTATGAGTTCCCGCTTGACACTAACACTTGGATATCATAGCAGCATTTAACCCTAACTCATCTAAAATGAAATTGTTCACTTTCTCCCCAGAAGAGTGTCTTTCCCATCTCAGCAAATGGTATCATCATTTACCTAGTTCCTAAGCTAGAATCTCAGAGTCATTCTTGACTCCTCTCTCCCTCAAAGGCTCACACTTACTCTATTATCAGGTCCTGTAAATTCTGTCTTCAAAATATATCTCAAATTCATCCACTTTCCATCTCCACTGCCAGCATGCAGGTGTTAGACTCTATCATTGTTCAACTAGACTACAACATAGTTTTCATATCTATTCCACTATTAACACCCTCCCATTCATTTTCAACACAGTTGTCAGAATAATCTTTTTTAAAAATCTATGTGAAGTCCTCCAAGAACTTCCTACTGTACCTAGATTAAAACCAAATCCACACTCATGAATAAAGCCTTTAAGGCCCTGTGTAACTTTTCCTATCCTACCTTCAACTTCATCCCAATTCCTCTCCCCCCAACTTTTGGTGTTCTGGCCACCCTGGCCATCTAGTTCCTTCACCACACCAAGTTCTTTTGCTCCTGCAAGGCTTCTATATATTCCTTCTGCTGGGAATGATCTCTGTCCCTTTCTCTTTCCCTATGGAAGAGAACTGGCTCTTCTTTTCCATCCGGTCACCTTCCAAAAAAGGCTTTCCTGACCATTCTGGATAAGGTTGGGCCCCACTTGGTCTCTCTAGTAGCGGCCTCATCTTTTTATTCTTCTGTAGCCATTTTTATACTTTTTTTTCTGGAGTTGCATTTTACATATTATTTTATTATATTTAATTGATCTTCACAGCAGATTAACAATTGAATTTGCTGCCATAATTAAGAGCATTTCTAGTAAAATATTAAGAAATGTATGATTGCTGGATTTAGAAAATGTCCAACTTTAGATAGGATACTTTACTGAGGAACTCTTTTAGTACTGAGTTCAATCTCTGTAGGCCTCTAAGTGAATTACGACATTTGGCCCTGTGAGTCCTTCTGGGATGAATTATCTGCATTCCTGTTAAAAATGCTTTGTCATTTCTTAGGGTCATTCCCTAGAAAAATGTTGAGAAATTTTTGGCATCATTTTCAAAGCAGGAACTATATAATAGGCAGTTTGCATGTGATAAACTGAAATACCAGAAAGACTACTATAACTTCGCTTTATTACAGAGTCGTAAGTTGCTCTTTTTAATTTATTAACTAGCTTATCTTCTTTCTCTGCTTTTACTCATCTGTTTCCTTAGAAGAGATCCAGATCCATTTTGTTTGCCTCTTTATATACACCCAATTACTAACATGTATGAATAAAGAACTCAAACAGAGACTCTTCTTAAGTAGAACTCGGATGAACACCTTTCTAAATTGTGACCATACTCGTCATCCTGCTTTTTTCTTAAATAAAAGCAGTTTGTAAAACAGAAACATTGTCTACATTTCTTTTATTTATTAATAGAGGTTTATGACTTTGAAAGGCCTTCTATAATGTTTTATAATATTTTAACTTTGTGAAAATTCAGGACATTTTCGTGCACATTTGTATGCCCCCAATAGACTGCCTGTGGTCATTTTAGATTGACCATGGCCACATTTGCTTCTTAAAGCTCTTTCATGCAAGTATTTTTGCTTTGTTTTGTTTTTATTTTAAATCATAATTTAATACAGGAGGACCTATGCCTCAATAATCAGAGATAAGACCATCCTTACTTTGTGATATTCAGAACATTTAACAACTGGCTGGGGGCATCAATCAATGAGACCAGCACTTTGGTCAAGCAGGAAAGATTTTCAGCTTACTTACCTGAAGGCCACACTAAGTCCTACTGAATATGGACACTTATCTCTGGGGAAAGCAATTCCATAGGCCCTATTGGCTGCCTGCATGTTTAGCCAACCCCTTTACTTTTTAAAAGGCCTTTTTTTGGAAGTAGCTCAAAGACTTGGAACCTTTTAATTATCCCATAATCATGTCTTATTTATACCTGCCTGGATACTGTAGAGATTGGAAAACTTCAGTCTAAAGGACACAGTAATTGAGTTTTGCCTTCCAGAACTTGCTGAGCTAAATGCAGGTTATAGCGACCAGCTTGGGCTATCTTGGGTTTGTCTACACAGTGCCTTGTTGTGGATGGTCAGAGTCTTACTCTTTAGCTGATGGCATGGCCTGTAAACTGTTTCTCCACGCTCCTTTCTGACTCTGTCCTGGAGCATGGTGTATTGATGAAGGATTTTCAAAGATCAAAGCACATCTCTGTTTTCTCAGGATCTGTTTGCAACTGCCTTACTGGAAGGAGAAGCCCAGTGGGGGATCGCTCCTGCTGATCTTCATTGACATATGTGAGGCTACCTGCCTTTAAATGACTCTGAATTTTCTGATATTTTGCTTCTTTTTGGATCACAGGTCCACACGTTCCGAGGCCCACATTGGTGTGAATATTGTGCCAATTTCATGTGGGGGCTCATCGCCCAAGGGGTCCGGTGCTCAGGTAGACACAGAACTTCCTTCTTTTCCAACGATATGAAATGCCACTGTGCTGAGCTGGAGGATGTCTCTCCAGTGCTGGGAAATGTGCTCAGATTAGCTCAAAAGTCTAGCTTTCTGCGGGATTCAAGGCCTGTCTGTGCTTAATGGGGAAACTATTTCAAGTGTTTGCAGGAATGAAAAAGAATATCTCATGTTTATGCAAGGAAAGAAAAACAGTACATTTCCTTAAACACCTATCTGCCTCTTACAATAGGCAGTAGTTCGTAAAAGAAAAAAAAAAATCAATTCCGATGGAACTGCATAGCTAGAAAAGCCATACTTTTTCCTACCCCATCTTACTACAAAAGGTAAGACATAAAAATAGTAATAGAGGTGGTTAATATTTACCATATACCAGGCACCAGTTAATCTCTATTTATCATGTCATCAGCCTCACCAACAGACCTTGGGAGAGATGCAATTATCCTTCATTTAAAAAAAAAAAAAAAAGAAGACACAGGGGCTTATTTGCCCTTGGCTGCGCAGTAAGGAATAGAATATTGATTCAGTGGGAGCCGGATTCCAGAGCTCATGCTCAGTGTCTCTTTGTCATCAGATTATCAGTGAAACCATGCACCTTGATTTGATATCACATATTTTCAAAGTAGTTGGAAAGCCTGGGTAATTTTCCACCTGGAACTGGAGGTATACACCTATTGCTAACAGCACACATCTTATTAAGGTACATCTAAAGCAATGATAAAGAGTTGCCAAATTAATGCATAACTGGGTTTCCTAATTCATGTTGCCATGGTTTTTCTGGCAAACACCTGTGGCTGGGAGCAAGACCAACCTCCTCTGATATTGATCAGGTTTCTACCAACACCATGACTGACTTCTTCCTTGCTAGGATATGATTTTTAAAAATCTTAGCAGCATTTAGAATACAATAAGGTAATGACACTAATTAAGGTGATCTTTCCCATTTTGGCTCACAGCATGCTATAACCCTAAGTCCTCCTCTCTGCCTGGAAGGGGCTTCTAGCTTCTATTATGTAAATATACCAATCACCGGTGTTGATACCTGGATGGTTCAAGTAGTTCTACCTCTCCCATTGCAGGTCTACGTTTAAGGGGGTGGTCAACATAGCTCAGAAGCAGCTTCTCCGTAAATATCCAGAAACCCTGATTAACACCAAAGACTGACTTGCCAAGAGTCACAACATATCTCCCAGCTCAGCCACTGAGCAAAGGAGTGGAATATCTGAATTACTCAGTGGTCATTAATTTGGCCTGTCCATATTGAACCTACCAAAAATATCCCTAATTGCTGGTATTATCCAATTTCAGCAAGAAATTGGTCCAAAGTCAATATTATGAGAACAAAACTCTGGGCTTCATATTAGCTGTGAACAGCAACTTTTCAACTTTCTCTGGGATAAAAGGGTTTTTGGGGGGTTTTTTCTGGTCTTGTTTTTTAAAATAAGACATTTTCTGAGGCCATATTGTTAGTATTCTCCAATGGCTACTCTTTGGCCTTATATTTCCTCTTAGCAGCAGGGAGACTGAAAACTAATCATGAAAGCTTAGGAAGAACCATCATTGCCTCTCAGCTTTCCATATATTACATCTTTTAGAGTATTTTTAGAATGCACTGGACTTTATTTGTAGCATATGGAGTTCTACTGCTTTGTAAAAAAATGGAATATTTTTACATTTGTTATAGAACATCTTAATTTTAATAAAACATCAGTATTAAACTCTACATAAACACATTGTTGCTTTAGGTCTTAAATGAAAATGGATGATTCCTATTATATGTGGTACCCAGGGTGGCAATTCCAAAAGGTAGAAAGTTGAATGGTATTTACAGGTGATAGGTGGATGGGGAGTTATATTGTTAAATGGGTATAGAGTTTCAGCTTTGGAAGATGAAAAAAGTTCTGGAAACCTACAGAGAACTCAAAGAAATTTACAAGAAAAAAACAACCCCATCAAAAAGTGGGCAAAGGATATGAACAGACACTTCTCAAAAGAAGACATTTATGCAGCCAACAGACACATGAAAAAATGCTCATCATCACTCGCCATCAGAGAAATGCAAATCAAAACCACAATGAGATACCATCTCACACCAGTTAGAATGGCTATCATTAAAAAGTCAGGAAACAACAGGTACTGGAGAGGATGTGGAGAAATAGGAACACTTTTACACTGTTGGTGGGACTGTAAACTAGTTCAACCATTGTGGAAGACAGTGTGGCGATTCCTCAAGGATCTAGAACTACAAATACCATTTGACCCAGCCATCCCATTACTGGGTATATACTCAAAGGATTATAAATCATGCTGCTATAAACACACATGCACACATATGTTTATTGTGGCACTATTCACAATAGCAAAGACATGGAACCAACCCAAATGTCCATCAATGACAGACTGGATTAAGAAAATGTGGCACATATACACCATGAAATACTATGCAGCCATAAAAAAGGATGACTTCGTATCCTTTGTAGGGACATAGATGCAGCTGGAAACCATCATTCTCAGCAAACTATAGCAAGAACAGAAAACCAAACACCGCATGTTCTCACTCATAGGTGGGAATTGAACAATGAGATCACTTGAACACAGGAAGGGGAACATCACACACCGGGGCCTGTTGTGGGGTGGTGGGGAGAGGGGAGGGATAGCATTAGGAGATATACCTAATGTAAATGACGAGTTAATGGGTGCAGCACACCAACATGGTGCATGTATACATATGTAACAAACCTGCACGCTGTGTACATGTACCCTAGAACTTAAAGTATAATAATTAAAAAAAAAAAAATTTCTGGAGATGGCCATTGGTAGTGCTTGCATAACAGCATGAATGTACTTAATGCCACCAAATCATACACTTAAAAATGGTTAAAATGATAAATTTATCCGAATTTTTTTAAAAAATTAAGTTTGTAAGACATACTAAATTCCTAATGAAATCACTGAAGAATAGCTGGGCAGATATACTTACATTTTTTATCACCATATTTGCTATTGATTTTATTTGACCTAACACATATAGTACTTAACTATATTTCAGACACTATGCTAAACACTTTATTAACTTTTATTTGAGCCTCATGGCTAATGCCAGGGGGTAGGTGCTATTATGATCTTCTATAAAAGAGGATTCAACAGGAAACCCAGCCAACTCTATTTAGCGCAGTTAGCCAAAATTTACATTCACTAGATAGAGGTATCAAAATATTATTGAAGTCACCTGAGCTTTGTTGAATTTCTCATGTTGATAAAGATGAATTCGAACTTTTTTTTTTTTTACTTTGGAAGGAGGGTAGATAGAGAACTCAAGCCAATAAAAATTACATGAAAATCAGTTAGAAATTACCACTGATTTTACAAAAGTTTAGATCCTCTCAAGTTCTTAGTGTGCTTAAGTGCTATTTTATAAAGCAGATGACTACAATATTCCTTATCGTGTGTGCACATGTGTTATTCTTTGTGCCTAGGAAAACAGTATTAAAAGACAGTTTGAGTAGACAGCACATCAACTTTGAACAACTTCAGCATTGAATGTAGACTGTGCTTTTTTATTTTTTTTTTTGGAGACGGAGTCTCTCTCTGTCACCAGGCTGGAGTGCAGTGGCGCAATCTCAGCTTACTGCAACCTCTGCCTCCTGGGTTCAAGTGATTCTCCTGCCTCAGCCTCCTGAGTAGCTGGGATTACAGGGGTCCACCACCATGCCCAGTTAATTTTTGTATTTTTAGTAGAGACAGGGTTTCACCATGTTGGCTGGTCTCAAACTCCTTGCCTCAGGCAATCTGCCCACCTGCCTCGGCCTCCCAAAGTGCTGGGATTACAGGCATGAGCCACCGTGCCTGGCCAACTGTGCCTTTTTATCGTCAGAGAAATTCCATCAGTGGATATCAACTGCTAACAGGCTTTTCATGTGTTCATTGAACTTTAAAAGCACCTTTTTCAGCTTTGGGGTTTCAAATGAACTTTATAAATAATCATCACATTACATTACACGGCATTGGTATAAACTCTCAAGTACTCCTACTGGTGTATATAGTTAGGCATTATTTCCACTCACAGGTGTCAAAATAAGGCACCTAGAAAGGAAAGCGGCCTACCCAAACTGCCCAAGGAGAAAGGGATTGGAAACGATGGGGCAACCTTCCAGGAAAGGGGAGAAGGATACCAATGGTCATGGACTCCTCAAAGCAAAGATTAGAGAGTCCTGCGGAAAGAGTAACTCTGCCTCCCACACAAGCAGCATCGAGAGCTTAAAGGAAACAGCCTGGAACAAACCCTAGGTGCCCTTTATAAGCCAGGACTGTCTGGGAATCCAAACCCAAAATCCTACTTGTGGACCCAAAGGGTTCCAGCCTGAAACAGGAAAATATATACAAAAAAACCTGATCAATTACCTAAGCTGTCTCATATGTTCTGTTCTCAAGGTCCAACAACAGAGAAGGCTTAATGAGAAAAATGGAATCATATACGGGTTTAGTGATTAGAGATGATACTCATATTTATCCTGTAGACAGTATCACCTAGAAATGGGATAGATGTTCCAGAGAAATATGTCAAACCCTTGGGTGGTGATATTTTTATTTTTGGCAACATATAATTTGGGTTGTGCTTTGACAAAAGGGCTGGGCTAAGCTAATGTGGCTTCTTTGTTTACAGACTGTGGATTGAACGTACACAAACAGTGTTCCAAGCACGTTCCCAATGACTGCCAACCTGATCTCAAGAGGATCAAGAAAGTATACTGTTGTGACCTCACAACACTTGTGAAGGCTCACAACACTCAGAGACCCATGGTGGTGGACATTTGCATTCGGGAAATTGAAGCAAGAGGTTTGGAAAATACTTCCTATTATAGTAGCATAGTGATTTTATTTTTATTGTTTGTTTTTACTGTTGTCAAGGAAACAGAATTGCTCTACTACTCTTGGGAAAATGACCTAGGCATGTGTGCGCGCACCCACACTCATTCTCTCTCACAGATAGACTCAATCCAACCAGCTCTATCAATTTCCATTCTATATATAAGCCATGCATATATGCATTCAAAAAATGTTTACTGAACATTTATTACATGCTGGGCATTGAGGTAATAAAGGTCACCATTCTCACCATCAAGAAATTCATACTTCAGCTGTGTGCAGTGGCTCACGCCTGTAATCCCAGCAGACGCTGAGGCCAGACAATCACTTGAGCCCAGGAGTTCAAGACCAGCATGGGCAACATAGTGATACCCCATCTCTACAAGTTTTTTTTTTTTTTTAATTAGCCAGGTGTGGTGGTACACACCTGTAGTTCCAGCTACTCGGGAGGCTGAGGCATGGAAAAAATTCATACTTTAGAGTGGGCAATCAGGAGCAAATAAACAAATATTGTGGATGGCTGTGTTCAAGGTACCACAGAGTCACAAAGGAAAATGTTTTAATCCTATTTAAGGACAATGGGAAAAGGTTATGGCAGAGGTGAGGCTTGAATTGGATCTTTGAAAAAAAGGTGCTTCTATTAAATAAGAAATTGTTGAGCAACACATGCATCTCCTACCATATAAAAATGTGCTCCTAATATTCATTGTTTATTTCAAAGAGGAGAGTTCAAAGATTTAAAAGATCTGTTCAATGAAAAATAAACAGGGAAGAAAGAAACACTTCAAAAAACTGTTCTTTTTATTTATTTATTTATTTATTTATTTTTTTATTATACTTTAAGTTCTAGGGTACATATGTAACAAACCTGCACGTTGTGCACAAAAAATGTTCTTTATGTTGTACATGAGTCACTTTTCCTTTATTTGTGCTTTCTTTGGCCACTGTTCAGTATCAGAATGTTCACTGATGTTGCTGGATGTAACTTGGGTGATTTGGCCATGTATAGAGCCTTTCTGTAAGGTTTAAACCACTTTTGCCATGTATCATATTCTGTTATACTTGGTATCCATTATTGTGTCCTAACTGGCCTAATATATTTTATACATATATATTCATTGGTGAATTACCCCATTTTTTCCAAAGCACAACTAAAGAGGATGTCATAACTTATTATCCCAACCCTTTTAGAGAGAGGAAACTATTCCCTTTTCTGTGGAGGGGGAAAACCGTAGCTATCCTGTTCCTTGAGAACTTGCTAATTTAATCCCAGAGTGTAGAAATGCCTTCTATCTTTTCACCACTGTGGCTGACAGAGCTTAATGAGTGCTTTGGGATCTGGTGAACATATTAATCCAGTGGCTAAACTGGGTAAGAGGAAAGGAGGGATTCTCTGCCTCTGGATGAGTGGTTGGGACAAGTGGCCCTGGGCCCTGCAGTTTGAGGTCAGATTATCAGCCTCTCCAGAGCCTGCAATCAGGGCTTTTCTGAAGAAGCTGGGGTCCTCCCATTGTGATCCTTAGCAGAGACAACTGATAATTCAGGCAACATTACTGACGTGTCTAACATTTAAGAATAGGGGGCACTGCACTGATTTTGCCTAGTACAAGAGCGAGATAGAGTAGCACAAATTAGGAATTGATGCCCAAAGAGTCACAGCACAGGGATTAGAGCCCCAGGTATTAGGGGCCTAAGCATGCAAGCAGAACCAGAGAATGGGCTGGGAGAAATTTGTGTGATACTCACATACCCAGCTGTGGAGCCACCACCGCCAACATTTTTCCCTGTCTTCCATTCGTAAAAAATTCCTTATTGTTCTCCAAATGTTCTTTTATGTTCATTTGTCCCTCCATGATGTGGTAGAGGGAAAAGATCAAGGACTTGAAGTGAAATTCTCAGCCCTGTCTTTTACTGGCTGTAGCACGACCTTGGGCAAGTTACTTACTGTATTTGCATATCTGTTTCTTCATCTATAATATGAGCGGAATCAACTGTACCTCATAAGGTGGTTGGCGAGGATTAAAGTGACTTGATACATAAATGGACCTAGTACAGCATCCAGTCTACCGAACTCAATCTGTGTTAATTTTACGTTTTCTTGGAATGACCCACACCCATACCTCCACCTCCAAATCTGTCTAACTATATTACGTAGCCTGTACATCTCAATGCTGTCACAGAGACCCTAAATAACAGTGCCTTTGACAAGATAGAAATCTATTTCTCTCCCCAGTAATAGTCCAGGTACCCAGGAGCAGTCCAGGAATAGTCTGCTTCCCCATGGCAGGAACCCAGGCACTGCAGCTTGTTGCTCTGTCCTGCTTGAGTACTATCCTGCGTGCATAATCGCAGCTGGCCACCACCATCTCATCTGCATTTCACTCAACAGGAAGCGGAAAAGAGCATCCTCAGTTCCTTCAAGGCCACAGAAGCCATAAATGTCACCTCTGCTCCCACATGGGCCAGAGTTTAATGGCCACTGCAATGGATATTGTTCTAAAAATCAAAGGTGCCGTTACAACAGAAGAATGGGAGAACAAATATTGGAAGGATAGCTGGCAGCTTCTGCTACTCTGGCAAACTCTAACCATCCTTTATCATTTCCTTCAAAGATTAGCTTCTTTAAAAAGCATCTCGATGTAATACAGGGTGATGCTTTGCTCAGTGAAGCATGGGCTAAAATCAGGAAAATTACCCCCATTTAATTATACTCTAAACCATACAACTTGGTGTATTGTTTAAAGCATAGATTTTTTTTTTTTTAACTTTAAGTTATGGGATACATGTGCAGAATGTGCAGCTTTGTTACATAGGTATACATGTGCCATGGTGATTTGCTGCACCTATCAACCCATCATCTAAGTGTTAGGTTCTGTATGCATTAGGTATTTGTCCTAATGCTCTCCTTCCCCTTGACCCCCACCCTCCAGCAGGCCCCAGTGTGTGATGTTCCCCTCCCTGTGTCCACGAGTTCTCACTGTTCAACTCCCACTTATGAGTGAGAACAAAAGCATGGGTTTTTCTATGTTCCTTGAAAACCTGGATTTCTTTGAAAGTGACTCAGTAAATCTTATGACTGAATGTTTGTTTCTCCTACCCTACCACATTTACATGTTGAAGCCCTAATCACCAGTGTGATTGTCTTTGGAGATGGAGGTCTCCAAAGAAGTAATTAAGGCTAAATGAGGTCCTAAGGGAGGGACCCTAAACAGTATGACTAATGTCCTTATGAGAAGAGACACCAAAGAGCAAGCTCTCTCTCTCACTCTCCATGCACATATACCAAGGAAAGGACGTGTGAGAGAAGGTGGCCATCTATGAGCCAGAAAGAGAGCCTCACCTGAGGCCAGAACTTTGATTCATCCATCAACAGGCAGGGTTCAATGTTCACTGCTAGGGGCTCCCATAATCCACTGGGTCTGTGCCTCTGTGGCAGTGCATGTTCCAACTGGAATGAGATGTGCTCATATGCACCAACATCTTAGAACAGGATGACCCACAAGTTTCGTCTTGTGTGACAACTACAGTTGATCAGTAGTGGTCACCTGAGCAATTGGAACTGAGATGAATTCTGAGGCTAAATAGGGCTCAGTGGGAAAAAAGGCTGAGATCAACTAAGAGCATCTGTCATGGTCACAGGAGGGATGAGGGGAAGTATTCGTGATTTACGCCATGTATTTGTTCTCTCTGATGCATACCTAATGAAGACCCTTATATACGGCAGATAATACATACTCCATAAATGTTTTCCAAAGGAAAAAACAAGAGCATATGTGAGTTATCAAGGGTTTGGCAGAATATATGGCAGCAGCAGCAGAAGCTATTTGTTTGCTTATTTTTACGGTAGCTATAGTTTTGATAGCAGCTAGTTTGTGCCATACAAAGTCTGAAATCCGGTCCTTTATCCCTGCTCATACTTTTGGGAACTGACTTGTTTTTAGGACATATCTTAACAAATCAATAAACTCCAGGAACAGAAACCAAGTCTTTTTTTCTTAGCCTAAATTTGCAGTGATCCAATTTCCAGAAGCAATAACTAAAACTTTATTTTCCTGCATCTGTTTGTATAATCAGTTGTCTAAAAGTATAACAAGTAATCATTTTTAATTAAACAGTTAACATAGTCTTATTTACAAGTAAACATGAAAGGCTGTAATAGTCTAATTTTTTCCAATAAAATCAGAGTAATACATATTAGATATCCACATACATACACATGTGTATCTAGTACAGTGCTACATACAATATAGCACATGGATTAAGATGATGCTAGGTACCCCACTTACCCTGCTGTGATTATTACACATTTTATGCCTGTATCAAGATACCTCATATACCCCATAAATACATACACCTACTATGTACCCACAGAACTTAATAAAAGAAAGATGATGCTAGGAAGAAGGGTTGCTTCCTACAATGATGAAATTCGTGTCCAGCAAGCTCATGAACAAAGGAAAGGAAGTAAGGGAACGGCCCATGAGAATCTTAAATATCAGTTCTCTTTGCAAAGTGGAGAAGGATGAAGACCGGATTTACACTGAGATCTCCACTGCTACATGGGCAAATGAGAACAGACTTGCCTGGAAATTGAGACAGACAAGTCCAAGTTCTGATGCAACTGTGTGTGATAAATAAGATCGCTGTCTATGTTTGCTCATTTCCTGATAGCATGTAGTGTAGATGTGAAATTAGAGTCTTTTTTTTTTTTCAGATGTTTCAAGAAGCTAAAGTTAGTCTCTCTCTCTCTCTCTCTCTCTCTCTCTCTCAGGATTAAAATCGGAAGGCCTTTACAGAGTCTCTGGGTTCACTGAACACATTGAAGACGTCAAAATGGCATTTGACAGAGGTAAGCTTGTACTTTCTTGAATGCCATCTGACATCCTAACACCCTTCTCGTTTGGAACTAGATTTTAATCATAGTAGAAATGGGGTTTCAGAACTACTAAGAGTTGTTCTTCAAGAAACGGAGGAATAATGGCTTACAAATCTCATGTTTCTGCCTCACTGGGCAAAGTGTTTCCTTCCCAGCCATTGACAAGTGATCACTGTCAACGGGCAGACAATCCATATGGCATTGGAGTACCCGTCTGCATCCCCTGTCTCAGGATCCCATTCTTCTCCTTCTCTCAAAGCTCCAAAGAAGGGATCATAAGGATGGGAGGGCACCCCCAGCACTAATGTAGGGGAAGGCAGTGGACGTGTAGGAGGGAACTGCTTTTGTTCTTTATAACTGTGGTGTATATTCTCTAGAACATACTATCTCTTAAGTCAGATATCATGGCCATCCTGGGGATCCTGTTAAAAATACGGGTCACTGGGACCCAACTTGAAGACTCATTCAGAAAGCTGGATAAGCCCAAGAATCTGTATTTCTAATAAGCAATCCAAGTAATTCTGGCACAGCCAGTGAATACATGGAACCCCTACTGGATAGAGCCTACTGGATAGAGCCTCTACTTTGTAGTGTGGTATATGAAATCAGTGAGGTTGCCCTCCCTCTCTCTTTAGACTTCTCTCCAGTTCCTCCTCCCTACTCTACTGTACACTCCAGCAATCCTGAAATACACCCTATTTGCTGCCATGAAGAAGTGCCTCGGCTCACATTGTCCTGTCTATCTGAAATGTATTCACCTCTCTGCCTAGCAAACACCTATAATCAGGGGTCAGCTCAAGCCTTTCCTCCTTGAGGAAGCCTCACTGACTGCCCCAAGCTAACCTCAGAGCTCAACTTCCTTTTCCCACACCCCACCCCCCACATTCCCCACACTTCTTCAGCATAGCAATCTTCCCATTTCCTTGTCATTGTTGAGTTGCATGTCTGACTGTCAATCTAACTAGAACTGTTGGTTGGCAGAGAGTATCTCTTTTCTTTGGTTCATCAGGGCTTAATGGTGCTTGGCACATGACAGCTTCTCAATAACTGCTTGCTAAATATGTAAATAATGAAATAAACATGGCATATCTTCTATGCTTTTACTGTTTTCTATACATCGGCAGCTTTTTTTATCTTCAGAACCAAATTTGCTGAGGCATTTATTCTTTTAATTCTTTATGTAAAAGATATTAAGAATTCCTATATGATTAAAACATTTTTATCCAAAAAATGTCATAGGCTATGACAAATTGGACTGGTATTTCCTAATGGTAAAACTAAAAGTCAAAAAATGTCTTGAGAATTATTGTTAGAAATGGTAAGAAATATAGGCCAGGCACGGTGGCGGATACCTAGAATCCCAGCACTTTGGGAGGTGGAAACGGAGCAGGTCAGAACTTCTGTGCTGATCCTTTGTACTGCCTACAAAGAAATAATTCTGGACCAACAATAAATACCAGATACATTAGTATAATATATTTAAAGTGCTGAAGTGAAATAACTGTCAAAATAGGCCGGGCACAGTGGCTCACACCTGTAATCCCAGCACTTTGAGAGGCCGAGACGGGTGGATCACTTGAGGTAGGAGTTCGAGACCAGCCTGGCCAACATAGCGAAACTCCCCCCTCTACTAAAAATACAAAAATTAGCCAGGCGTGGTGGCACGTGCCTGTAATCACAGCTACTCAGGAGGCTGAGGCATGAGAATTGCTTGAACCCGGGAGGCGGAGGTTGCAGTGAACCAAGATTGCACCACTGCACTCCAGCCTGGGCTACAGAGTGAGACTCTGTCTCACCAAAAAAAAAAAAAAAAAGAATGATAAGAAATATAACATCACATATCCAAGAGAAAAGGGTAAAGTTTCCCAGATTAAATTCCTAGGGGATCAGGGAGGAAGGATCAAGTTAAAAAAACAAATAAACAAACCCCTTCAGTGAACCTGAAAGAAACAATAAGAACTGAAACTATTCAACAATCATTTTGTGAATGTGACTTCCAAATCCAAGTCTAAAAAACACTGGTGGAAATGTATTAGAGCTTCTTGATGTTCTCTTGTTTCAGATTAGACTGTTGTTTTATTATGAACCTTTGTGTCTATAATACAAATTATTGTGCTAAATTTCTATTTAGCAAATTACCAGGGGCGGGGACCCAAAGCACTGTTTGAAGTTTGTTTTATCACCCGTTTGCCTGCACAAACCCTCAGAGCCTACCTCCCTCTCACCAAACTCCCTTCTGTTGCCTCCTACACTTCAGTGTTACTAGAACCCAAAAGAGTTAGCTGAGACTTGTCAGGGAGCATTCACCATTGGATTTTTTTTTTTTTCTTTCCGTACATGCCTTGGCGAAATAAGGTCCTAATTAGGACTTGGATCACTGATTGTTTTTCAGATGGTGAAAAGGCCGATATATCTGCCAATGTCTACCCAGACATAAACATCATCACTGGAGCCCTTAAACTGTATTTCAGAGACTTACCCATCCCTGTCATCACATATGATACCTACTCCAAATTTATAGATGCAGCAAGTAAGTACTTCAAATTGACTTTTTATTTTTAAGAAATTTTTAAGTACAATGCTTTTGACCTTCAGAAAATTAAAACTCAGAACTGTTTAAATTATTGCATTTGTACCTGTCTTGTCAAGTGAGGGCACAACGGTAAATAGATGACCAGGCATAGTTCAACAGCTGACTTGAACCAGTTCTAAGAACTCTGTGGACTGACGTATGTGTCAGGCAGTTCTGTCCGCATCGTTCCTTGTATGCTGGGAACCAACACAGTCAGGCCTATTCCGTGTTGAAAGCATGAATATTTCTGTCGCAGAAAAAAAAAAATCTTCAGTGAGGACTGACTAGATCATGGGGATCCAATCTTTTGTCTTCCCTGGGCCACATTGGAAGAAGAATAATTGTCTTGGGCCACACATAAAATATACTAACATTAATGATAGCTTTAATGATAATTTTAAATAATTTTAAAATAAATTATTTTAAAATCTTATAATGTTTTAAGGTTTACAAATTTGTCCTGGGCCATATTCAAAGCTGTCCTGGGCATGTGCGGCCCACAGGCTGCGGGCTGGACAAGCTTGGTCTAGATTAACTACTTTTATCTGTTAGGCAGAATTTCATTCCTAATCAGTTAAAGTCACAACCAAGTTTTGTCTATTGATGCTTTCAAAATGAACAGAAGGCCAGAATATACTGTGTCAAGCAGTATACTAGAACGTCTCACCAGTGCCTTCTAGTTTAATTCCCTCATTTACCCCATGTGGCAAATCTTATAATCCCATTTTACAGAGAAGAAAAGCAAGGCTTGGAGAGCTGAGCTCATGCTTCCAGGAATGGGACATCAGGATTTGCCTTCCATCAGCCCAGGGTTGCTCATTCAGTGTTTGGCACTTGGGCCCACTGCTGTAGGAGAGAAAAGAGAGTGAAAAGGGGGCAGGTCTGGAGGAAGGGACTACACTTTGCCCAGGAAGAGGCAAAAGGGACCAAAGGGAGCTTCAGATGCTGAGACACATGACACAGAAGTCAAGCTCACTTTGAGGAAGTTTTTGCTTATTGTTGTTGTTTTTATTTAAAAAAAAAAAAACCTTTAAAGGTTGAAAAGTTTAGGTATGCTGTTAAATATAGTAATGAGATGCCTGATGGGGAGACACAAAGGCAGGCTGGGATCAGTGTGAGATGCACTTTTCAGATGAGCTGAGGCCCTGACCCCGGTAAGACTATTCCCTCCTTCCAGGGCCCTAGTGGTCCTGGCAAAGAAGGTTCTAGCATCCTCTACTCCAGGAGGAATAGCAGGAGGGTTTTCTTTGAGTAGCTGCCAGTACCTATCAGAGACCCAAAAGCCAGAAGCATGTACTCTTCCTCCCATTGTTAATGTGTCCAGTCTCCACTTCCTAACCTGGGCTGTGCACCGGGGTTAAGCATGCCAACACTATAGTGAGAAGTGCCATGAGTGCAGGCTGAGTTGGGTGGCTCATTGCCAATGTCCTTGCCTTGTAAAATGTATTAGGTTTGTAGAAGTCTGCCAGAGAAAGACTCATTAGACAACTTCAAGGGAATAGTACTGTATATGGTGCAGTTTAAATTAAAACTTGTGGGAGTGATATTTCTAGCAAATCTACTGTTCAGAAGAAAGCAAAGCACAGTCTGCACATATGCTCCGTGACTGTATGCATTCTGCTGGCTTACGGATTCATGGAGGGCAAGGACAGTGTCCAACCTCTGGCCACCCAGAGGACATTCAATAAGCATGTGGTGCTCAGCCTCAAACTCTTTCCTGAATGACACAGGACACCAACAAATTGATTAAGTGAAACAGTGCTTGGATCTGCCATCACATTTATAGATCGGTTCCCCCATTTCTGGGGGCCTTAAAACAAAAACTTCTTGTTACTTCTCTTAAACAACTTGAATGCCACCCTCTGAGACTATACCCATCATGCCATATACTTCACAGATAATCTCCAATGCAGGATGAAGGCTTGGAAGGCCGTCCATGAAGTGCTTGGATTGCTGCTGCCTCCTGGCCCACTATGACCCTTTCCCGTACTAATGATCCCTCAAAAAGTATGTCTGGCTGCCTCGTGGCCCAAGCCTGCTCTGGGCCCCTAGGCAATTAATGCATCGGAAAAGTGGTCGGCTTCCTCCCCAGCCCCTAGCCGGCTCGCCCAGCCATAACTGCTTGGAGCCTTTCACCGTGCCAGGAGCCACGCCAGGCACTTTCGTGATCATGCCTATGAAAGGCGCACCTTGCGTGTGGGCCCATGTGAATCCCAGCACTTTGGCGAGCCGAGCGGGGGGCGGATCACGGAGGTCAGGATGATCGAGCCATCCTGTCGGTCACGGTGAACCCTGGTCCTTACTAAAACACAAAAACGTTCGGCCGGGTCCATGGTGGCAGGCCGCTCCTGTGAGTCCAGCTACAGGAGGCTGAGGCAGAGCCAATGCGCTGAACCCGGGGCGGCCGAGCTGGCAGCTTGAGCCGGAGATCATGCCACTTGCACTCCAGCGGCTTGGTGACCCGAGCAGCCTCCCAGTCTCAAAAAAAAAAAAAGTTGGGGGGGGCACCATTAGGGGCCTCGTGTCACTCGTGAGATTGCTGACACTTGGGGAGGTTACATAGCTGATTTGAAGAGGTGAAGCCAGGATCCCAGGCAGACTGATGCACAGCCTTTACCTACTCTGCCGCTGTGTCTGCATCTTCATCTGACACAAGCCCTGTACTGTGTGTCCTGTTCGTCCCCCTGTTGCTTGCCCCTTTCCAGGCTCCTGAGCCTGCCTGCCTCCTGGGAGAGCACATTTCCAGCCTGATCTCTTATTTTTCTGGATGTGTGAGTTCTATATCATTAAGTAACAAACTTCTCCCAAAACTTAGTGGCTTAAAACAGTAAACATTTATTATCTCATGGTTTCCAAGGGTTAGGAATCCAGGTGTGAATCAGCTGGCTGCCTCCAGTTCAAGGTCTGTAATGAGGCTGCAGTCTTATCTGAAGGCTTGATGCACCTGTAATCCCAGCTACTTGGGAGGCTGAGACAGGAGAATTGCTTGAACCCAGGAGACAAAGGCTACAGTGAGCAAAGATTGCACCACTGCACTCCATCCTGGGCAACAGAATGAGACTCTGTCTCAAGAAAAAAAAAAATTCACTCCTGAAGGCTTGATGGTGGTAGCATCCATCTCCAAGCCCACTCACATGGTTGTTGGCAGGATTCAGTTCCTTAAAGGCTGTTGGACTGAAGGCTTCACTCCCTCACCAACTGTTTGCTGGAGTCAACCCTCAGTTCCTTGCCATGTGCATTTCTCCATAGGCAGTTTAAATTAAAACTTGTGGGAGTGATATTTCTAGCAAATCTACTAGAAGCCAAGTGGCTTCTCTCAGAACAAGAAAGAACACCCAATATGAAAGACAGTCTTTTTGTAACCTAATCTCAGAAGTGACATCCTATTGCTTTTGCCATGTTTTATCTGTTAGAAGCAAATCAAGTCCAGCCCATACTTTAGGGGAAGGGATGCAGGGTGTAAATTACAGGAGGCATATCACTGAGGTCCATTTCAGAGAGTACCTGCGGCACACAGAACTATCTGTGTGAGTGTGTGGGAGACAGAGATGGAGACATCTGGATGTTTATGGGACACTAGAACCTCTGGTGACACTACTCTCCCTAAACCTTGTCTCTCTCTCTCTCACTGCACATGTGTAATGAGGTTGATGAATTGGTGTTATAACATTGGAAGGATCAGGGCACATCTGTGTTCCTCTGTGTTTTTGAAAGACATTTGGCAGTAGCCCATTCTTTGACAAAATGAACCAAAAATTGTCTACATTGACCAGTTCACAGATCTACTTAGTAAGTGAAAAGAGGCAAACTGAGGACTGTATAAACAGTAGGTATTGAGGTTTTATTTTTCTACCTTTTAAGACATACAATATTGTTGCTCAGATTCAGGGTGACAGGTGATGGTAACATTTAGCTCAGAATATTCCCATTTTGATTAATTTGTTGAATTTAGGAGTACAAGTAATTTTTAGATAATTATGGGTGTCACATCTGGCTTTCAGTCAGCTGTAAAATATTTATTGTGATCAATATCCAGTTACAATTTGGAAGGCAAAGTACCATTACCAGAAAAAATGCTGACACCTTTCAGCTGAACCTTAAATGCCAATAATACTGTATCTTTTTCATAGTGGGTTTGCTAGCCATCTTGTTTGGTCAGGCATAGTGCCTGACTTAAGAGGAAGCTGTGAGCACTTTGATGGTGAGAAATGTCCTCTTTCCAACCTTGCTCTTAGCTTTGTGGCATGGACATGACACAAACTGGGTTGACCTTAAAATAATACTCAATGGCTAATCCTAATGAGTTATAAGGAAATAGAAAGGGGATGGCTTTCTATGCACAACTTAAACACATTTTAATTATATTTTGCTGTTTTTTGGAGAACCCACTCCCTTTTACATCTATTAGGAACATTCTGAAACTTAAATTTGTGAAAACATAACTCTGGGAGATTGTAATTTTATTCCATGAGGAAAATATTAAACCAACTTTGCAGTTTGAATTTTATTCTTAAATGCTCTGCAGTTCTTATCTGGATGTCAAAATGATGATTCTTAATTTCAACTGCTGTTCAACTGCTGTAGACCTCATCCTGTGGGAACTACAAATAATGTCCAACTGCCTTCCAGTTTGGCCACATTCCAGCCATTCCCCCACCCCATGATAACGGCCTGGTTCTTCCTAAATTCATGACAGCCCATTCTACACATAACCTTTCTCCTCTGGCACCAGTCCTCCCAGCAGACAGGGATCCTGCCCTTCCCTTCCCACTCTCCAGCATACAGACCAGCAGGAAGCCACAAGAGGAAAAAAAGCCTTCCGTATGAGGCCTGTGAAAGGACCATGGACCAGCCTCAGAATCCGCTGCCCCTACAAACCAGTATTCCTTAAATGATAGTTCCATATTGACTTAATAAGGAGGACTAATTTTCTAATTTAAAAAATTGTGTTCCTGCCAGATTCACATATGTAATTCATTTCCACTGGCAAAGGCAATGTCAACAATATAAAACCAAATATCGGTCAATTACCCTTCAAAAATACGTTTCTGCCATTCTGATTCCCAATTTTTTCTTGCAATTTCCTGAACCAGAGATGTTCTTGGGACTTACATACATAATCAATACAGAAAATCAATCCTCAAGTCTCCATAACATCTCTGTTCTGTATGTTTGTTTTGCAGGGTTACTATGAATGAAAAAGACAATTTCATGAATGCAGAAAATCTGGGGATTGTGTTTGGGCCC